TACTGTACTAAAGTACAGGTTAGAGGTTCACGTACTTCTATTTCAAGAGAGATATTTTTAGTACTTTTAATCCATGATAATTATCTGATAGATGAAAAGACTGATTTGGGATTTTACATTCAAGATGAGGTATCTAAAATATTATCTGCTTAAAGTTATTGTTTTTTAGAGAAGGTGTGTTTTTGTAAGTTCTAAGAAATGTAAAAAAGTCAACAAAGCTTCCTCGAAACAAACAGATTCAGTTCTATGAATCCTTGATTGCATTTATTCATGGTTTTAATGATTCTATGTGATGATTGATAATTGGAACTGTTATTTATCCATCAACACAACATTAGCTTATATCTGGGAGCTAGCTGTCGTTTGTTTGAAACCATCACAATGGAAAGTAAAGGATCAAAGTACGCACCATGTGTCCCATCGGACAGGAGTGGATGTTAGCGTGATGAATGCAGCAGTTGTCTCCGTCAGCGTCTTTCCAGTTGGTCGGACAGTCGAGATGTTCACAGAAACTCTGCGCTGCTTCGGCGTTTATTATGGAGCTGAAAACACATCAGACCAGTTCAGATCTAGTTTGGATCCCAGTAGAATTTAAAAAACTAAAACCAGTTTAAATAAGTATTAAGTCTGGTTTAAATCCAGTAAAACCAGTTATAATGAATGTATTAACCGGTTTGTGAAGATGTTGTTGTCGATGGCCCACTGGTAGAAAGATTCTCTGGCTGTTACCGAGTACGTGACGCTGAACACCTCGCCGCTCTTCACTGTCTCTGGAGGACGGACCACCCAGGCCATCTCCAAACCTGAGACCCAACAGAGAGACAGATAACCCGAGTTTAATTCCGGTATGATGGAAGCTTGAATTTCACTTTGTGCTTGTTGTAAAGTTGAATTCAGAGAGTACAACTGAGGAAGAAACTAGCTTTATTTCTGCAGTATTTTCTGATGTAAAAGCAGAGTTTACTTACTGGAGTTATTATGTTTTATAAAGCCAGATAAGGTACGTATGAGGGTTTAGAGGGAGATCTAGTCCAGTGGACTTCACTGGGTTCTGAGGCAAATTTGTAAAGTGGTTATAGATGGATTTCTGTTTCATGTTAATCATATATATGGTGGTTATGACTTTTCAAAGTTCACCATTTTGAGCGCCCCATAACAAGCATCTGCTAAGTTAGGAATGACAACTTGTAGAAGTTTACTGGTTAAATGGCAACTTGTGGCACCTCAATTGATGCTAGTGCTGTTAGCTAAAATCAGCAATTTCAGTACGCCGTATCATAGAAGTAATGCCTAAAGTTTTTTATTTACTGCTACTTTATATTACCTATATTACAGCGTCATGTTTCACTCAGTAGAGCTCAGATTTAATGAATCAGCTGTAATAAAAGTGTGTACACTGTGTGGAGCATTAGCTGGGAAACATCACGTTTAATCTCTTTACATGGAGCTAAAATTAATACTGAATTATGTTAAATGTTCACTGAATATGTTTACGTCATTTTATAAGCTGTAAGAAATCACGAATCATCTTTTAGAAAGAGTAGATGTTCACGGTCAGCTGGCTCGGGCTCCGTTAAAATTAAAAATATGTTAACATAGCGAGGCAAGCTAATCGCTAACGCACTTGGTTAAAATTGAAAACAACCAACGCTTTGAGACGGTTGTCAGAGACGACAGAAGTAGAGGAAAGAGACTTAGCATAACATTAACTAACCGTTATCATTGGAAAACACCAGTTCTGGTAATTCCCGCAAGGTATCATGGGAGCTGGGAATAAGGAGGAAACAGCTCTTTGTTTTCTTGTGATCACTCATTCTTGACAATTTGGACAAAACCTTATTTTAGGTTTTTTTTTGTTGTTTTTTTTTAAATTGCCATCTTTAATCAGGCTGGAAAATATATTTAAAGATCCAAGTCTTGAATGTTAAACCTTGTGACAGACCGACCTCCCAGTGATTTAATATTTTCTTTAATATCATACATGATGGATGTCAGACATGTACTATAACACAGAAGATAATTTATCAGGCTTTGATCCTCATGTAATACAGAATAGAAAACTAGAACATCAGCAGCCTTTAATGTCACAGCCACTCTGAGCGTCAGATCAGCTGTTACAGACTGTAGCTGTGAGACAGTTTCTGACCTCCACAGTCGATCATGTTGTACTCGTTGGGTTTGTCCAGAGGCCAGCAGTCGTACTCGCTGTTGTCCAGGTCGTGCCAGCAGTTTGTCGGACCAACGAAGGACACACACACCTGGAACAACACACCGTAACAAAGAGCTCACCATCCACTAATATAGAGATGTTAATTATAGATTTAAATCACATGACAAGAGACAGACAGAGACGGATTTTTCAAACACTTGGTGAATAATATATTCAAATAAATCATGTCAGATCATCTGACTATATAATGATGAACACTCTGTGTGTGTCTGTGTGTGTGTGTGTTCCATGTTTTTCTCCTCACTGACTTGGTCAATCCATGTGAAATTTGGCACAGTGGTAGAGGGTCATGGGAGGATGCCAATAAAGCAATATTACATCAATTGGCCAAAGGGGGGCGTTATAGCAACCCATTGAAATGTCAAACTTTGAATGGGCATATCTCATGCCCCGTATGTCGTAGAGACATGAAACTTTGCACAGAGATGCCTCTCCTCATGAGGAACACATTTGCCTCAAGAACCCATAACTTCCGCTTATATAGATTTTCCGCCATTTTGAATTTTTTGAAAAACACTTCAAATGGATCTCTTCCTAGGAAGTTTGAGCGATCTGCATGAAACTGGGTGAACATAATCTAGGGACCAATATCTAAAGTTCCCTCTTGGCAAAAGTTGGAAAACTTACTAAAACTGAGCTTCTATAAGGCAATGAATATTGCGGAGGGCGTGGCTCATCACATAAAGGTGTATAACATCTCAAGGGTTTCACCCATCACCACGCAACTTTGTAGGCATATGACCACACATAATCTGAGGGGACCCCTCCATTATTGATCCCATCAAACAAAATGGGGGCGCTAGAGAGCTCATTTCTTATCTAGGCCTAACCGCCATATGGATTTTTACTAAACTTGGTAGATATGTAGAACAGGACGCCTCAAGGTGACTGGAGAAATTTAACTCTAATTGGCAACTGGGTGGCGCTATAACAACAGAAAAATGCTTCAAAATGGCTAAAATGCGACCGATCGCTGTGGCTCCCCCTGTGGACCAATGTTGGTGTTGTTTCTAATGTTTGGTATGACTAAGTCATGGTATGGTATGCTGTACATAATCACGGAAACTGTCAGTGTGTCATTCTGTCAGTCAGTCATTCTGTCTGTCCCACGTTTTTCTACTCACTGACGTGGTCAATCTATGTGAAACTGCACATAGTCATTGAGGACTGGCATAGGTAGAAGGTGACAAAGCTACCAATGGGTATGGACTAGTGTTCAGTATTTTCAGAGTCAAATAATTTCAGGGAGATTTTTAATCAAGAAAACAAACATTTGAATATGAGGGAACAGAGAGGAAAACCACACGTATTTTTTGGACATGTCAGACCAGTTCTGTCAAAATGTAAAAGTTGCAATTAAAGAAATTCTGGGATATTAAACAGCAGTTATGTGCTTTGGAGATATAAATAAGAATGAAAGAATTTGTACAAGACTGAGCCCCTAAGAGAGATTTGTGACCTATGAGCTTTGAGTCAGGGAAAATGTTTTTGTTAGTAAACAGATGATTTATGACAGAGTGGGAAAAAAATCTGGACTAACTGATGGCTGAACTTGGACATTTATAACCATGACAATTATATTTAACCCTTTATTTATCTCTTTGACTTTCTGATTGTGGACAGAACGTTGCAAGTTATTATAAATGATACTTATGGTTGTATCCACAAACTAAAATTCAATAAACGTTAAAGTATAAAAAACAAACAAACATGTAGAGTCATGTAAATGCATAAAAAGCCCCTTAAAACCTTTATTTTTCTCCTGCATACAGAGCTTAAATAGAGCTCACAGCAGCTGATCTGCTGTATTTGATGAGCTGCGTTTCTAAAACCTGAAAAGATTAAATCTTTGTAATTAAGAAAATAAGTCCTTCAAAATAAAATGCAGCTCAGGATTAGAGCTCCAGCTGAACATGAAATACACTCAGTTTACCGTGGTTACATTTTTGAATAATAATGAAAAACATAATGAGAGAAAACAAAGTAATCTGACATTAAAACCTGATCTGAGTTCATTATTTGACACTTTCAGATGGGTTAAAAGCAGGTGTCGGAGGTGAAGTCTTACCCAGAGCAGAAACCAAAATCTTTTCCTCATGTTGCTGCAGAAGCACAGACAGGTGGACAGATGTGTGTCGGTGAGCGGTGGAGTCCAGACTCAGTGATGAGGAGAGCAGTGGAGCTGTGGTGGACACATGTAGGACAGACTGCAGAGAGACTGTGGTGCTCACCGCCCTCTGGTGGTGACTTGTGTTACTGGTTTTACCATCTGAAGGATAAAGCCAGGGTCAGCTGGAGTCCTTCTGCCACCACAGCTGCTACAGTGTGTGTGTTACAGTACAGTGTGTGTTACAGTGTGTGTTACAGTACAGTATGTGTAGCTACAGTGTGTGTACAGTGTGTGTGTAGCTACAGTGTGTGTTACAGTACAGTGTGTGTACAGTGTGTGTAGCTACAGTGTGTGTACAGTGTGTGTAGCTACAGTGTGTGTTACAGTGTCGGTTCCCCGGTGAGGATGTGACGTGTGTGACATGTTGTTTGAACAGCTTCATTTGTAACTTAATTTCCTGTCAAATGAGCTCGAGCTGTTTACAGTCAACACAATGAGCCCACGCGCCAACGCTCCATCTGTGTTTATGTCCCAACAGTGTGTGTGTGTGTGTGTGTGTGTGTGTGTGTGTGTGTGTGTGTGTGTGTGTGTGTGTGTGTGTGTCTCCGCCTCCTCTCCGCTCCGGGTTTTGTCGGGCACTACCGGGCACGCGACACCAGCCGTGCGAACGCTACCTGCCAATCACCGCGTGCACGAGGACACGCTTCTTTCTTTCCCCATCTAACTTTGGAACGTTGGTGCGCGCGCGACGTTCCTTCGAACGTTTCGCACGTGCTCAGTCAGAGACTTAACGGGTTCTATATTTTAATAAGCGCGTGTTTTAACGCGTCTCATCTCGTGTCGTTCTTCTACCGTCGCTTTTCTTCTTGTTTTCCCACTTTAACGTTATTTTGACGTCACACCGGTACCGGCTCCGTGCGGCTCGGTGTAGATGTGTTTTCAAACTGGATATTAGCTTGTTTTCCGTCCCGGGTCGAGCCGGACCGGACCGGACCGGACCACAGTGAGATAGCTGATTAACAAAGCGGGCTGAGCTGGATCCCGGATCAAAGGAGGAGATGGTGACCCGGGTCAGCCTGGTTCTGCTGTCCTGGTTCTGTATGTGGACTCAGGGACACAGAGACTATGACAGGTCAGAACTTTGTCTCTTTGTTCTACACGATGCTGTAATAACAATATACTGTGTGTGTGTGTGTGTGTGTGTGTGTGTGTGTGTAATGTAGGGACTGTTCTCTACTGATCAGAGGGGCTGGGGTGGAACTCTATTTATTTATTTATTTTATTTTATTGTGACCATCCCCAAAGTTCAAACTATTTCTCTTTGAGCCTCGCTGGGTGACAGGAGCAAACTCCACCACCCTCCCTCCACCATAAATGAGTTATTAGATTTTTAAAACTCACCTTTGGTGTTTGAAAGTTAAAAGTTGAAGATGAACGTTGAAAAAACTCAGTTTTTCACTCTTGTGGCGCAAACAGTTTATTTTTGGTCAAATTTTAAATGAGATGTTGAATAACGTGATTTTAAAGATATGTCACTGTTTTAAGCTCAAGTTTGGTTGTTGTTTTTTTTTGTTATTTTTGCTGACGAAAGCAGAACTAAAAAAACAGATAATATCTGTTGTTACAGTCCTCAGCCGTGATAAATGGTGTAATTTTGGTTATTTTAAAGAAAACAGCAAACGGTAAAAATTGCCAAAATTTAAGAAAGTTATTTGTTTTATAAAAATTGTTATAAAATTAAGAAGAATTCAAGAAAGCCATGTTTTCTTTATTTTCTATTTTTATTTTTATTTTTCTGATGAAAGCAGAACTTAAAATCCAAAGATAATTTCTGTTGTTACTGATGTCGGCTGTAATAAATGGTGTAATTTTGGTGATTTTAAGAAAACGGCAAATGGCAAAATTGCCAGAATTAACAAAAGATATTTGTTTTTTACGAATCATTAAAAAAAAATTAAAAAGTCATTAAAAAAAATCATTAAAAAATTAGTCATTTGGTTTTTTTTTAAAAAATTAAACAATTAAAGAAAGTCATTTGTTTTTGTTTTTATTTAAAAAAAATCATTAAACAATTAAAGAAAGTCAATTGTTTTTTGTTTTTTTTTAAATCATTAAACAATTAAAGAAAGTAATTTGTTTTTTAGAGATTGCCAAAAGTAAAGAAAGCTTTGTGTTCTTTAGAAATCACCTAAATTAAAGGAAGCCATGTTTTCTTTAAAATTGTCCCAAAATCTGCAGTAAAATAATTACAAAATACAACCATATAAATGTATATACCCCTCCTCTAAGCCAAAATAAAAAACATAAGCTCCTCCCCAGGGCTTCAAAGATAATTTGGCATGCCTTCCCCTTTTTGCACTCCTTCATGAGTAACGAATGGTCCCTAACAGCGTGATCAAGTCTGTATTTTGAATTAACAGTGACTTCATTCTCTCGACACACTATAAATTCCCAGTAGTGATTTTGCCGTGGTTTTTTTTTACTTTTTTATATATATTCTCTTTATAAACTGATGATGTTTCAGTTCTGACTCATTAAACTGATGCAGGTTTTGTAAAGACCAGATTAAAGCAGATGAGAGTGTGTGCATAATAAAGCTCAACAGTAAACTTGTGATCCAGCATCATTTAATCTGAGCTGTGAGAGACGACAAAAGAGAGAGATGAGGTCAAAATAAAATTGAATCACTCAGAAAGGAAAGAAACAGTCAGATCCAGCCTGTGTGTGTGTGACAGACACACAATGGAGGACAAAGTGGTGCAAAGCGTGACGGGCAGGAGAGAAAGTATGTGGAGGGAGTGGAAAATAAGAGGCGCTCACTCCTCTTCTTCCTCTGCGGCTGATATCAGTCATGTTCAGACAGGCGCCTGGAAACAGGAGATGTTAACATCGTAAAGACACACACGCACACACACACACACACACACACACACACACACACAGCAGCCGGTCTGAACTGGAACAGACGACATCTTCAGCTGCTCATCTCGCTGCAGGAATCAGTCACTCTGCTAACGGTTGTTTGGTGACATCAGATTTCACCCTGCAGTTGTTTCTGTGGTTGTTGGATCAACTTCATGTGACGGAGGCAGCTGCAGGACCAAGCTCCTCTGACATGGACGCTCCTCTGTAGATGTCTCAAGTGTTACATATATATATATGTGTGTGTGTGTTTCAGCTGGGTGGACCAGGCCGCGTTGTCCAACGGTCTCTGTCGCTATGGCAACAGCGTGGAGTGTTGCTGGGGCTGGAGACAGATGGACTGGGGACGCTGTCAACGTGAGGACACACAAACACACAAACATAATAATCTGAAAGAGACCAGAATGCAAAGTTTCACATGTTCAGTCCCTTCTTCCCCTCGGCTCAAACAACCTGCTCACATCTGGCTCTGTAACGTGAAGGAGAATCTTACAGTCGGGTCCCAGGACGTAAAGAGACACAGGGAAGAAAGTTGCGTAACTTTCCAAAATAGATATATATATATATATATTGATATCGGTTATCGGTCAAATTACATGTTTTATATCAGCTAAAAATCCAGCATCGTGCACCCCTGGATTTAATATCTCTCCAGCTTCTGGCCCACAAACAGAGTCGGCTCGGTGCCCAGCGGCTGCACAGAGACTCGAGAGAGCTTGAAATGTCCCAGAAACACAGACAGGCAGACGGTCGAGTGCTCACTACGCAAATCATGTAAAACCTCCGCTGCCTCCTCATGAGGCATCAGACGACGTTTGCTTCATCAGTTCAACGCAACGCGGCCATTTTGTGGGTCAACTGTTGCTTTAAACACAGACGAGCGTGCATGTAGTATATGTATATATGTGTGTGTGTGTGTGTGTGTATAGATGTGTGGATGCAAATCACTTGGTAACTGTGGTAACACATACGTGCATCAGCAGAGATCAGAGTCAAACTAAGCCGAACTTTCTAACACATGCTTGTGCAGATTTACCCCCTAATCATATATTAACACCCTGTGTGTGTGTGTGTGTGTGTGTGTGTGTGTGTGTGTGTGTGTGTGTAGCTCACTGTCAGCAGGGTTGTAAACATGGAGAGTGTGTCGCACCAGACAGATGCAAATGTCACCCAGGATACACCGGCAAGGCCTGTAACCAAGGTAACCGTGTGTGTGTGTGTGTGTGTGTGTGTGTGTGTGTGTGTTTGTGTGTGTGCAGTTTCACAGAGGTTTGATTTCCCATCATGCCTCTGAGACAAAGACAGACACATTCCTGTCATGCTTGTTTGACCTGCAAAGGCGTGTTTTACCTGAAGACCCCAAAACATACAAAAGACACACACACACACACACACACACACACACACACACACACACACACACTGCCGTTTCCAAACTTAGACCAACACACACACACACAAACACCTACATACTGTGTTAATATGCTGATTAGAGGCTACATTATGAGTCATATCCTGACTATAAACCAACATCTGGCTTTAAACTGGAGCTTCAAACACACACACACACAACCACACTAACTCTGTAATTTAACGCTACACACACATACACACACACACACACACACACACACACTTAAAACACTCCTGGTGTCTAACAGTCAAAGGTTAATCCTACAAGTTGACAGGAAGAGTGAAAACAGACAAACTGTGACTCAGTTTAATGTTTGATTCTTGCCCTCTGCCCTCTGTGTGTGTGTGTGTGTGTGTGTGTGTGTGTGTGTGTGTGTGTGTGTCAGACCTGAATGAGTGCGGTGTGAAGCCTCGGCCCTGTAAGCATCGCTGCATGAACACGCTGGGCAGCTACAAGTGTTACTGCATGGATGGATACACGGCGCAGCCGGACGGCAGCTGCAGGAGTGAGTCCACACACACACACACACACACACACACACACACACACACTGGTGGCGTTTCAAAACCTGAATGCTTCCAATGACATAATGGGTATCGAATGAAGTAGAAAAACAAGGCATCACTGTTGCTTATTAAATGAGACCCTGTCCTGAAGTGCGACCTGGAGTTTCCCAGACGCTTCGTTAGCTTGCTAACGTATCTGCCTTTCCATTAATGTAACCTTCCTACACTGGCTTCAGTGTCCACACCATGGACTGTAGGAAATAATATACGTAGCCACAGTGACGTCATCCTCTGGTTTATGGACTCCTGTTTAGTCGCCATGTGTTTTTTGGAGCAAGACATGACCATATTTGGATGAGAGGGTGGAGCTAACCCTAACGCTAGCTGCTAACTTGCTAACAGTGCATTTACAGCTCGTGTCGAAGCGTCAACAGGCCGAGTGACTGTTTCATATTTTCTGTCTGTGTGTGTGTACCTACAGATGCTCGAACCTGTTACCATGCCAACTGTCAGTACGGCTGTGAGGTCCTCAAGGGGGCAGTCCGATGCACCTGTCCGTCTCCAGGGTTACGGCTGGGACCAGACAGACGCACCTGTATCGGTCAGTCTGTCAGTGTGTCTGTCTCTGTGTGCTGCTCGATGATCAAATACTGATTGAGGTGAAGCTCATTTGTCGCCCTCTCTCTGTCTGTCTCTGTGTCTCTCTGCAGACATCAATGAGTGTGTGTCAGGCGGAGGTGTGTGTCCTCATCGCAGGAAGTGCGTGAACACGTTTGGGAGCTTCGTGTGTAAATGTCACTTCGGCTTCAAACTCACGTACATCAACGGACGGTACACCTGCATCGGTGAGACTCAGTGTGTGAATCACACTGCACCAAACTGTAGACCCTTTTACAGGACGTGATGATGATGATGGTGATGATGATGATGATGATGATGGTTAAGGTGACTGACAGGATCAAGTTGGACCGGGTCTGTTCTGGTCTGAGTCAATCCTTGTTGGCACATAAAATCACACAGTTTGTGTTGTACTGCATGTGAACTGTGTGATTTAAAGTCATGCCCTTGTGCTTAGAACTACAGTTCCCATGATGCTAGCCTGTATTTGTTTACATGTAATCAAATAGAACAAATAAATAAGTAGTTAATAATTATAAATTAAATAAAATACTAACAATACCAAATAAATAAAGCTATTTATAAATAAAATAATGAATAATACAAATAAATAAATAATCAAAATAAAAAAAGACAACATAAAAAAATTAATACAAAATATGACATATAGATATAATAACAAGACAAAACAAAATATGATAACAGTAATACCAAATTAAATATAAGAAATAAAATAATTAATAATAATGGCAAATAAATAAATATAAATAATAACAAGAAAAATAAATAATAAAACATAAAAAGTAACAAATAATAATGATAATAAATATAAAAAGAAATAATAAAATATATAAAATAATACTAAAAATATATAGAGTATGATAACAAATACATTAATTAATATGAATTAATAATAATGATGGCAAATAAATAAATCTAAACATAATAACAAAAAGAATAAATTATTAAACATAAAAAACAAACAAATAATAGTAATAATAAATAACATTTAAAATGATAATGGCAGATAAATAAATAATGAATATAATAACAAATTCATAAGAATAAATAAATTCACAATAATACCAAATAGATAAATAGAACATGATAATGAGAAGAATAAATAATAAAATAGTTAATGATAATAAATTAAAATAAATAAATGAAATAAAAATGATAATTATACCAAACAAATAAATGGTATTATTAATAATAAGAAATACATACAATACTTAATAATATTCAACTGTAATTTGTGTTTGGCTCATTTGTCATGCTATTAGTTTCCATGTAGTTAAGCTGTGTCCATTCACAGTGAGCTGAATGTGTGAGCAGCTTCTGTTTGCAGTGTACCAGTGGATATACAGACAGCTGTCACTGGGTCACTGTGGGACTGAAGAGAACTTAAAAACATGAAAAAAAACTGTTTTGATTTCTGGACGTTTATTCTAGATGGTCATCACAGATAAACAAAATGTTTGTCATATTTGAAAATGTTAAAAAAATGTCTTTTACCCCTGAAGAAACAGTGAAGTTGAAACATGACAGCTGTTTCCTCAAACACTGATTTTATCTGCAGCGTGAATCCGTCACAATGTTTTTCTTAAGGTCTGATTTTCACAAGAAACCGTCTGGGCAAAAATGTGACAGCCATTAAATCCATATTGTCTCTCTGTCTTTGTGTCACCAGATAAGGACACTCGGCCGTTCTGTTCTCTGAATCCTTCCTCTCCCAAGTGCAGGTGTAAAGGCGGCAGCTGTAAAGGTAACAACACCTCCTCCTCCTCCTCCTCCTCCTCGTCATCATCAGGTCAACGCCTGCTCACATCCTCTAACAGTGGGACGTCAGTTACAAAATACTTTTTACTACACTTAAACTGTTGAAGATGCTCAGACATCATCAGACGATATCGGCTGTAAAACAACATCAGTTACTTTTTGCCGTGTGACAGCGCTGCATCCTGAGTTTAACTAAATACAGTCGCTGTGTGTGAACGCTGACCGTGAAGTTAAATTAGAAAGTTCTGTTTTCTGTTTTTTTCCAGGTGTCCCCAAAGTGACTCTGCAGCCACAGAGACCGAGAACTACAACTCCCATCACCACCTCCACAGCTGCTACCCCTCCTCCCCTCACTACTACTACTACTACTACTACTACTACTACAGCTCAGCCAACCACCACGACAATAGCAACAACCACACCGACAACTTCCACTACTACCACAACAGCTCCACTTCCTCCTACAACCACCACTGCAAGTACAACTACTTCTACCGCTCTGCCTACTACAACTGAACTGGATACTACAACTCCAACAATACCTACTACTTCAAATACACAACCTACTTCTACTACTACACCTGTTACTACTACTACTACTACTCCCACGACTATTTCAAGTACAACACCTGCTACTTCCACAACTGCTAGTACGACTACTTCTACCCTGGACACTTCAACTGCTGCCGCTACTACTGTTACTACTACCACGCCAACTACAACTGCAACTACTGTTGCAGTGGAGCCAACAACAGCCACCACAGTTGCCACCACCACATCCCTGGTAATGACAGTGAACAACAGGATCAATAAGGACGTGACACACAGACAGAGAGGAGACGTGCACAGTGAGGATGCACACACACACACACACAGATTCTTGTCTTTGTCACTTATGGGGACCACTGACTCTTTAACCACTTGTGAGGACCAAACTTTCCAGAGGTCAGGCGGGGTTTTACATAAAATTAAAAACTGAGAGAACGTTTGCTTCTCACACATTGTTTGAGCTGCAATAATTATTTTATTATTAATTAACCAAAAAAAAAGACATAAATTCTCTATTTCCAGCTTCTTAAATGTGAATATCTGCTGTTTTTTTCATCTGTATGTTTGTAAACTGAATTTCTTTATGCTCAGGGAGAGTCACTATTTTTACATGTTTTGTAGTCCAAACATTTGATAATAGAAACAGGCAAATAAGAGAAAATATGAGGAAATAAGCAGCACATTAATCAATAATAAAAATACCAGTTTATTTATGTACTTATTTTCATTGACAAAAGACTGATTTATAAAAAATTCAGGTGAAATCAGCACATATCAAATTGAGGTGAATATTGAGACAGTTACATGAAATTTCAAAAGGGGGGAGGATTAGAAAATATCTGTTTATGATTTTTTTTTAAAAAAAATGTATATAGAGTAATTAAAATAATAAGATCTTAAATGCTCTATCACCTGAGTTATCATAATGATGAATAATAAATTTAATGTTAAAAGAGTAGACAGTTAGCAGCCTAAAAAAACTCCAGACTCCAGATCTGTCCACAATATTCATAAATCACTCAAAAATAGACAAAAAGTATTTCTGTATTATATTTACAAAAGATACATGAAATATCAATTTCTGCAAACTTAACAATAGGACAATTAGCAGGCTATATGTCATGTAAAATTTTGAAATCAACCTCTGTAGCCTCGTTTAAAATACAGTACTTGTTAGGTAAAAGCTGATTATTTTCTCAGTTTATAACTCAAAACTTGTTAGTCAGTTTTATTGTGTATGTTTGTGTGTTGCAGTTCCTCGACATCCCAATCATAACCAGGTGTGGGAGTTTGACATCGAGCTGGGAAATACTGCTGAGGACGCCAGAGATGATCCTGGTAAGTGTGCGTGTTTGTTTTGATGACTTTCACTGGGCTAAAAGTTTTTGTACCCAACCTTAAACTAACTTTGACCGCCTTACCTGAAGCTTTCTGTTACTGCAAAAAGACCCAAAGTTTAACTGATTTGAACCTTACATAAATAGCAAAGGGAAATTGAGTATAACTCTGGTTTATTACAACTTGGCTCTTACTTTGGTAGTTTTGCTCAATTTTTAAGAAACACGAGCAGTTAGCTGATGAAATGGGTTGTAAACAATCCAACAGATTGGACAAACTTATTTGAAAGAGAAATTTAAGGTGAACAGTGAAGATGTTGCCTTAACTGTAAGTTGTAAACATTCATCACAACTTACACACCCACGTCCTACATCAGATTCACCTACCTTACTTACTATAGTTGTGTGCATACAGTTTTCCTGTTCAATGAGGAATTATTTCAGTTTGACCTTCAAATAAAAAGTTTTAGATTATCTGAATAACTTGATGACCTTTTTTTGAACTCCATCAAATTCATCAAACACTTTATAGTCTTCAAAAGGTGGTTAACATGTTACGCAGCTGAAGCAGAATGTTGGTGGCCTGAAAATAAGTTTTGTTATTTTTCTTTTTTTTTTCGTTTTTTTTTTTTTTTTGTATTTGTTACTTGAATGTGTGCAGTGTTTTGTCCACTCCGGGCTCCTGTAGGAGCTGTTAATCATTTTTTTCCTCTCACAGCTGATTTGCTCATAGGAGCTTCTCACATATGTTTTTGTGTGTGTGTTTTGTAGAGGTTGGTGTGCTCCACTGCACCTTTGATCATGGATTGTGTGACTGGATGTCAGACAGAGAAGGAGATCTACACTGGGAAGCAGCTCGCAACCCCGCAGGTAACAGACAAGCTTATAGACAAATTTAATTAAATAAAAATGTCAGCAAAGAAAGTCATAGGATAGGATGTCATAAGAAAATTATTTAAAAGTCATAATGTATAGTATGTTGAAAAAAGTCATAGTATAGTATGTCAAAAAAGACATAGTATAGTATGTCAAAAAAAGTCATAGTATAGTATGTTGAAAAAAGTGCCTAAAACGTCATAGTATAGTATGTTGAAATAAGTCATAGTATACTGTGTCGAAAAAAAGTACTTGAAACATCATAGTATGTCTAAAAAAGTGCTTAAAACTTCATAGTATAGTATGTTGAAAAAAGTGCCAAAAAGTCATACTATGGTATGTCAAAAAAAGTCAAAGCATAGTATGTTGAAAAAAGTGCCTAAAACGTCATAGTATAGTATGTCGAAATAAGTCATAGTATAGTGTGTCGAAAAAAGTGCTTAAAACGTCATAGTATAGTATATTGAAAAAATTCATAATATAGTATGTCGAAAAAAGGTACTTAAAACATCATAGTATGTCGGAAAAAATCATAGTATAGTATGTCGAAAAAAGTCATAGTATAGTATGTCGAAAAAAGTGCCAAAAAGGCATAGTATGGTATGTCGAAAAAAGTCAAAGCATAGTATGTCAAAAAAGTGCCTAAAACGTCATAGTATAGTATGTCGAAATAAGTCATGGTATAGTATGTCGAAAAAAATCATAGTATAGTATGTTGAAAAAAGTGCCACAAAGTCATAGTATAGTATGTCGAAACAAGTCATAGTGTAATATTTCGAAAAAAGTGCTTAAAACGTCATTTTGTGTCGAAAAAAGTGCTAAAAATGGCATAGTATAGTATGTGGAAAAAGTGCTTAAAACATCATAGTATAGCATGTCGAAAAAAATGCTAAACATAAAGTCATAGTATAATACGTCTAAAAAAAAGTGCCTAAAACGTCATAGTATAGTATGTTGAAATAAGTCATGGTATAGTATGTCGAAAAAAGTGCTTAAAACATCATAGTATAGCATGTCGAAAAAAATGCTAAACATAAAGTCATAGTATAATACGTCTAAAAAAAAGTGCCTAAAACGTCATAGTATAGTATGTTGAAATAAGTCATGGTATAGTATGT